ATCTCTCCACACAGAACTAGCTGTCAAATCCTGTGTATTTGACTTTCAAACTGTCTTCAAACATGCCATGACCACCGCTCTATCAGACTTGTCATTTCTTACTTGGATTTCTGCAGTAGTCTCCTCTCACTGATCTCTCTAATTGAATCCTTTCTCCATCTGTGAGCAGTGTTTTCTAAAACACAATCTGTTCACCTCACTCTCCTGCTTAAAAGCCTTTAATGACTCCATATTGTCTGGAAAATAAATCTAATAGCTTTAGAAGGGCATTTGAGGTTTCCATACAATCTGGTGTGACTTTCAAATCAGCCTTGCCTCTCTTCCTTCTCTCTATATGGTGTCTGCCCCATCCATATAATGCCTTCAGCTGTTCCAGAGCAAACCTTGCATTCCTCAGCTCTTTGCTTTCTAGATCTCTCTGAAATGCCACAAATTCCATAGAACCTGTTCTATGGCTCCAGTAAATTTATCCCACTACTGTCACCACTAGCCAGCACCACAATGACCTTCACTACCACTTTCATGAGACTTGCTCCCCTCTAGCCTCTTAGTAATCTATTTCCTCCCCCTCTCCAACTGCCTGCCCACACAGAAATTTTCTATATTGGCAATGTCAATGAATGCATCAAATATTATGTGCAAAGCAGTGACTCCATCTATAATAGTTTCTAGATGGAATTTTGGGAGCAGTTGAGTTTTGAAAACATATTACTCATAAAAGGCTAAAAACCTACAACATGTATCTTTTAAAATTGTTCTGTTTAAAGTACTTTAATATGAAGGAAAAATGTCCTCTAAATTCCTCTTGGAAAGGGGATCTGAAAACAAACGAGGGGGCAGATGGCAATGTTCCTCAGCCCTGTTGGGAAGCAGAGCTTCTACTTCTCTGGTAACATGTACTCATGTAAGAATGTGATCCTATAGTCATCTGGTACCAGGATCCAGTTCAATTAAAATATATCTGAAAGATCTTTTAGCTCAAATGTATAATAGACACAAATATTAAAATTATTTTTTCCTAAGCTTTTAAAAAATGAAAGTATCCTCAGAAAAAGGATAGATAATCATTTGCCTCCACGAAATTAAGATGCGTGATTTATTTGTGTCTCCCCTCTTCTCATTTAATGGGCTTTAGGTCTAAAAATTATAAACAAGAAAAGGACTCAAGATACATACATTAATGCCCATAAACTTTTGCTACTAGTTAACTAATCATAAGTATAAAACTTTCAGGCTTATCACATTTCTTTCATGGAAATGATCAGTTAGGAATATTTTTTTTAATAAATTTTTTTAGTTGTAGAGAACACAATACCTTTATTTTAATGTGGTTCTGAGGATCGAATCCAATGCTAGGCAATATCTCTACCACTGAGCTGCAACCCCAGCCCCTGTTAGGAGTATTTTAAACATGTTAACAAGAAATGAATTATTTGTTTGTTTGTTCCTTTTTCCCTTCTAATTTGCCAATACGTTAGCTACTATATTAGCTTCTGAGGATGCAGGAATACACAACAAAGGCAAGTTTCCTCTCTGATCATGCTTGCAGAAGATTCATATGGACTCAAACCAATCCAGAAAGTTTTGAGGCAGAAAAGCCATCAAGAAAGGGACAAGATGGAGGCAGTGAGTGGCACATGCTAGTAGAAACAGCTGCTCAGGAGGTTGAGGTGGGAGGATCATGTGGCCTAGGAGTTCAAAGCCAGTCTGGGCAACATAGTGAGACCATATTTCAATAAGAGAAAAAAAGAAAAAAAAAACGAAAAAATTATTTTAAAAGGACAGAGAAAATTTATTGAGAACATGTTTATCGATTGCTGAAAAAGAGCATTACATTTCCACAATTTTTATGATTGTCCTGCCAAAATAGTTTTTATCCTTCTTTACTTAAAAATGCTAATAAGTTATTTCCAATATGTCATTTATATGCTTTTCCTAATAAAATATCAATTTAATCAGTTGGTTAAGTTCAGTATTAGAAAAGTCAAGCTATTTATATATCATATATGTTTGTTTTACATTTTTCCATTATTACTAAAGCTAAAAATAAATATTCTAATCTACTACACGGTAATGACTGAAACAAATTTCAGATTTTTTGCCTTTGAATACTTCTACGCTTTTCTAAATCAGATGATATTTACTTCCTGCTTCTTTTCTCGAAAACATCTCATCCTCTTCATTCTTCATTAATACTTTAAACAGCAAGAGACCCAGACAGAATTAATTCACTTAGTCTCTTATTAGCTATAGAATAAGATATAGTAAAAAAAAATAGCAGTATCATTAGGAGTACTGCAATTTATTCCTAAGTATCCTAAGGCTGACATTTTAGAGTGATAGCCTCATTATTATAGATCAAAATCTGTCTTAGTATTAGTAGACCCCTCAATTCTAAGATGACATAGAACATAATTTTGCCTCCAATCTTGCTATTATTTCATCAAGTCCTTTTGTTAGGGTTTATTTTTCATTTAAGCATGACTGCCAGCTATGACCAATATCTGGATTCTGGTTTGAAGGATCTTCAAACCCAAGACACTTTCCTCCAAGGAAATCTGGGAAGATTTCTTTGCCCAGAAACACAGAGATCTGACTTGTCATCTAACGTCACCTTCAGGGTGACATTACCATGATTCCACACCTTCTCATTATCTTTACTTCTAAGAGTAAAGACAAAGGATTCTATTCTCAGAAACTACCCCTTTTATGCAACAAAACAAGAGAATTTCCCCTATAATTTCCATTGCCATTTTCCCTTCTGATTTCTCACAATTACTCAGGAGCTCACCAAGGACTTACAAAGCCTACATTGTGTACAAGGCAGTGAACTTGGCACTGGAGAAACAATGGATTGACTCTCCACACTCTCACCTTCTGGAGACATAGAGACCTGGCAGAGAATGATGGGACAGAGAACAGCCCTTGAAAATAAAGGCCACCTCCCACCCCACCAATACCCTTGAAAGAAGGAGGAATAGAGAGCATAAATAAAACAATAGTGGTGAATAATGACAATAAGTTTATCCCTTTACTCACTCAAGAGCAATCCTTCCTGGCCAACTCGAGTATGATTTCCTTCCAGAATTGAAGGATGTGTTCGCAGAGGGAAGGTGGGGGCTGGTTGCTGGTGCCGTGCCTGGTGTGGAGGAGAGAGGAAACCGGGAGTGAAAAGGCTCTTTCATTCGCCTGGCAGAGGCAGCCTTGCAGCTGGGGCCCTGTCTGCTACCCTGATCCCTCTGCTGGCCTGTCACCTCCGGAGAGAACTTGTGTTCCTCTAGTGAGACGTGTCTCAGCACCAGCCTCTGGCAGGAGCCAAGTGACTGGGAAGATAGTTTAAAGGAATCATAAAAGTATATAAAATAAAGGGTAGTTAAGCATTTTATCCGCACCCCCCACCCCCCCCATGCCCAAGTCAAGAATATCTACTCAACTTAAACTTTTACCTGAGATCTCTTTACTCAGACCCAGGATCACCAACTTGCTGTTTAAGCTTGGCAAGTCAATAAAACCTTACCCTGTTCAAATTCCTCATCTGAAAATTGAGAAGGTAGCAACAGATGTGCCAAAGGCCGCTTCCAAATTAAAACAAATATGACTTTCACATCAACAGAATTTCAAGGGGCTTACACTCAGCTGTTAAGAAAAAGAAAATTAAAAATGACATATTTGTGTATTTTCCTGTTGTTCTTTTACTATCATTTTAGACCACTTATTGCTATTTAGTGATCCTGTTTCTGCTTATTATTTCCTTCACTAACATGACTGAGTTCAAAGGAGGAAAAAAATGTAAAGGTTAACATCTAATTTTAAACAATTTTAAACACCCCTCCACACACACACACACACACACACACACACACACACACCTCACAGATGTGGATTTTGAGCACGGAAATGAAAAGCTAATTGATACACTTCTCCAGTTGTTCACAATCAGGGCATTAAAATCACATGAAAGATTTGTTAAAACACATATTGCTGGGCCCCACCTCAAGTTTCTAATTAGGTGGGTAAAGTGGAACCTTAGAATGAATGTTTCTAACCCATTCCAAGTGGTACTGATGCTGTGGGTCTGGGCATGCTTAGAGAACCAACTACTACTGTTTAGCGTAGCTCCCACGGAGATGCATACATCTGTAGTGTGTATCATCTTCAAATCACTTAAAGCCAAGATGCACCGAAGGCAATCATTTCTCCCCTCTACTATTTGTCTATTATCAGAAAGTCATGATGATAATCATGTTTTTTCTTCTTCATGTCAAAGCACTTTCTATCTATCCCTTATCAGTTACCTACCGATTTCTCTGTTCTTTTGATTATTTTCCTACAAAGTTTTCAACCCACCATAAAGCATGCATTTCTGTAGCTAGCATGACATTTCCCCTTTGTTTTTTTTTTATTTTTCTTTATTTTTGCAGTACATTAGGCCTACCCATAGCCCATGATACTTTTTAAAACTTCAGTCATTGTGGCCAGAATTTCTGCACTGCTGGAAACACAAACTAAATGGAAGACAGGCTAATTGAGTACAAAGGTTTGCCATCATTAAGTTGATGTTCATGGAGTTATGGTATCATGTCTATGGCAGAGTTTCCATCTTTGCCTTAAAAGGATATGAGCCTAAGATTGTGGGTAGATGATTCGTAGTAAAGTAGAACCACCAACTCATACCCTAAACCTCAGGAAATATTTCTGAGTGCACCTTTATTACCAATGTGTTCTAGGGTCTCTAAGAAGAATTGGTGGGATAAATTATTCTGGGAAGTCTGTGAAATAACACATAACAAGGAAGAAGGAGTGTTTTATGATGAAACAAAAACTATAATCTTCTTTAATGGTACATTGAACAATTTAATTTTTTAAAAGGCTGATGCCCCCATACTGGAGGGACTTTCTTTTCATCTTCAGTTTAAGGACTCAAAAATCTTATGTCCTACTAGAGAGTCGGTATTAAAACACACAAGCGGCTTATTAGCAATCCTCTTTCAAGGTGATAGAACAGGATCTATTCTTGCACACCACCTTCTGCTACTGCCTCCTCCTCCTTCCCATCTCCATTCCTGCTCATAGAGAATTTTAGCATTGGGTAGGTAGAGAAATAACTCAGGAGGCTGGAAGTGGAGGGCTGCTGAAGGCTGCTACTGCTACTACTGCTGCTGCTGCTGATTGCATATGTTGGGGTAATTTCATCCCTGTGCAAAAAGACCCAAGCTTCAGTTGCAAACCAGCTTGCTGAAGTTAACCATCCATCCCAACCCTATCAAGTTTGGCCCACCGAGGGCCCTCTCAAACATTAAGGTATTTCTTTCATATTCATAGTTGTCTATTACATGTTAAAAAGTTGCATGCGTTTTTGTGGCATGTAATGTGTTTGCATGTGAGCATATGTGCATGTGTGCCTGGGGTGAGTGTGATTATGCTTTAGGACTCACTATTCTAGATACTGTCCCTACCCCATCTACAAAATTTCTTTCATCAAATTCTTCCTGTTTGATGAATGGATAAAGAAAATGTCACACACACACACACACACACACACACACACACATAAAGGAATATTATTCAGCCATAAAAAGAAGGAAATCCTATCATTTGTGGCATTGTAGATAAGCCTGGAAGACTTTTAGTTAAATGAAATAAGTCAGGCACAACATGTTCTCACTTTTATATGGCAGCTAAAAAATTAGATTTCATAGATTATGGAGTAGAGGTCACCAGGGTCTGGGAAGGTAAGAGGAGGGAGAGAGGATGGTAAATGGGTGCAGGGGTGCAGTTGGATAGGAGAAATGACTCTAGAGTTTTGTAGCACAGCAGGGTAACTATGATTGACATAGCTATTTCAAAATAGCTACCAGAGAGGATTTTTAAGGTTCCCAACACAAAGAAATGGTACATGTTTGAGGTAATGTATTATGCCAATTACCCTGATGCAATCATGGCATAAACATGGATTGAAATATCACGCTCTACCCTATAAACATGAACATCTTTGTGTCAATAAGAAATAAAAGTTACAAATTAGAAATGGAAATGCATCTAGTTTTTAGAAAAGTTGGCCTAGAATTCTCTACTGTCCTCTGCCTGTGATCCCAGCATCTCTGGAGACTGAGACAGGAGGATCTTGAGTTCAAAGCCAGCCTCTGCAATGGTGAGGCACTAAGCAACTCAATGAGACTTTATCTCTAACATACAAAATAGGGATGAGAATAATGTGGCTCAGTGTTCGAGTGGCAATGAGTTCAATCCCTAGTACCGAGAGAGAGAGAGAGAGAGAGAAAGAGAGAGAGAGAGAGGGAGAGAGAAGCTCTATTGTCCTTTTGCTATGAGGAATGATTTCAATTTAATATGAAGAGTTGTCATAAACACTTGTCACATCAAATGTGCCCTATATGGTACTAATAAAAGTAATTATTTAACCCCATGAAAAATGCTTCCTATTTGGACACTTGTTAAATTTAATTTGTACAATAGAGTTTTGTAAGATTGCTTAAATTCATCAACTAATTTCATTTTTTAAAAAATTATTTAATGTATCTCTGACACTTCACATTTCACAATATCTATAATACTGAACAGATTCAACTGATGCTCAGAATGTATTCAACACATGGCCTTGACTCTAGCACCTGAGCTATGAATTATTACTGGCAGACACTATAGTATTACAACTTCTACTAGTATAGATTGGTGGAGACCTGAACATTATTTTTTTAGTTTTTTAAAATATTTTATTTAGTAAGATGAGATGTTGGGGTGGTCATTCCTTTTGTATATTTGAATATCTGATTATTTTCTATTGCCACCTGTAATGCAATGTTAGGTACTTCCAAATTATTTACACTGGTCAGAGTCTTTATTTATTTATAGAGCTGATCATGTTATATGGCTCTTGTGAACTGATCTGCTTGATGGTTTTTGTTTGCTCTTAATTTTCCTTTCCATTTAGTTGTAACCTTGTGCTGATGCAGGCTTTTTATTTGTTTTTAGATTTTCTCTGGTTATTCGGGTCAAGAAGATAACAGAATTCCCATTTTCACTGTTTAAAAACTGAATATCACTGAGAAGCAACTGAAAATTGGATGTATTCAAGGCTGAAACTGCTCTTTTCATGTTTAGTAAATCTAGATAGGTATCTTTTCCAGTTTATGATGTAGTTGTAGACACTTACTGTGGAGTTGCTGAGACAAGAATAGACATTCAGGATTGGCCCCTAGTCATTAACTGCCAGAGCAGGCTGGACTCTGGCCTGGTGGGGAGAATCCACCAAGTGAAGTCCATCTGACTTTGCTTTCTGTGAAAAAATAGCATTCTCCAGAAGCAGCCTCTCCCTCCGAAGACTAAATTCCATCGCCTTCAATTCAGACACATTTCAGCTTTCTGGAAAGAGGATGCTTGATGATCAACATACCTCATCTAGCTGGAGCCCCTGATACTCAAGAAGACCAAGGGAGGACTTTCATTCTTTTGAAAGGTAGCCAGGCCATGTAAACCAGGGAGGTCTTTCTGAAGAGCAAAATGTTATTAGTCATGAAAATGATTTTAATCCCTTGTCCTATAACTTCAAGTCTATAAATAAAAACTGGGTAATGCTAAGAATAGTAATAATGATGATGGTGATGTCACTCTTACACATCTGGGGTTCTAAATCCCAGAGGTAGAATCTAGCAGCCACAGAAAATTTTAAAAAGTGATTGTATTCTTGGAGGCATCAAATTACTCCTAGTCTCTGTACACAAGATGACTATGAATGAAGTTAATTTTTAAACTATTTATATACTCTTGCGTTTTATTCGCTGAAGAACAATAGACAAATATAATTCATAACCTGGGGTAACACTTTCTAACAATTCCTTTCTCCATTCTCCAATTTTCTTTTGAGTTACAAAATCTCTCATATGTCCCTGCTCCACCACGTCCCTTGAGGCTCTGCCTTATGCTATATATCCTTTCTTCTTTTCATCTCTTCTTGTGGTGTACACTTTGGTTTCTATTCCAACAATAAAAACCTTACTACTTTTTATTATCTTTAAGAAACTAAAACCAAACCAAAACAACAACAACAACAAAAAAAAAACCTGTATCATATCATCCAGGTATCCCACTTCTGGGTATATATAAAAAAGGAAATGAAACCAATATACCAAAGAGATATCTGTACTCTTGTGTTTATTGAGGGCACTGTTCACAATAGCTAAGATATGGAATTAGTCTAGATGCCTATTACCAGCTGAATGGATAGAGAAAATGTGGAATATATATACAACAGAGAATTATACATCCGTAAAGAAGAATGAAATTTTGTACTTTGCAGCAAAATAGATGGAATTGAGAAACATTATGTTATATGAAATAAGTCAGATACAGAAAGACAAGTACCACTTGTTCTCTCTCATAGGCAGAAGCTAAAAAATGTTGAGCTGAATATATAATAGTTATTACTAGAAATTGAGAAGTGTGGTAGGGAAGGGGGATAGAAGGAGTTTATAAAAAAATTCAAGCTGGTGAAGCTAAATGTCACCATAGATAGTTTGAGACGTTAAGATTCTTCGTTGTCTTCTCTTGCTATCAAAATCATACAGTTATCCCTTTGTGTCCATGAGGAATTTCTTCCATAACCCTTATACTGATACCAAGTTTGTGAATGTTCAAGTCCTTTTTATAAAACTGCATAGTATCTGCAGATAACCAATCAGACACTTTAAATCCTCTCTAGACTATGTACTCAGGTTGAGCATCCCTAATCTGAAAAATCCAAAATTATCCAAAATCCTGAATTTTTTGACTACTGACATGTCACAAATGGAATACTCCATACCTGACCTTGGGGGCATCAAATTACTCCCAGTCCCTGTACACAAGATGAATACGAATGAAGTTAACTTTTAAACTTGTGTTCTACCCCCAAAATATGCATATACAAATATCCCCAAATCTGAAAAATCCAAGCTAGTTGTTATACTGTGTTGTTTAGAAAATAATGAAAAGAGTTCGCACTTCTTCAGTCAATACAGATACATTAAATTTTTTTTTTTTTAAATTTACATTTGGTTTTGCACTTGGTTGAATCCATGCTGCAGAACCCATGAGGGTCAGGCCTGCAGTAGACAATAGAAGAATAGAACAATCAAAAAACAAAACAAAGGCCAAAACATCTTCTCTCCAGCAGGGGGCAGAGTGTGCTTGTTTAAATGCAAAATAGTGAAAACTCCCTATGAGCTCATTCTGCTCTCCAAGCATTTCCTACTCTCTCCCTTGCCTGCTCTGCCTGACTGCTTTAATAGTCATTCTCCTTTCAACGTCTGGTGACATTTGAAATGTGATTTCTGAGGAGATTGGTGTCAAATCCCTAAGCCTTGCTCCCTAAAAGAAATGGAGACTTTAAACTAAAGGGAGGTGAAGGCACTGCGGAGAAGATAAGAGGAAGCAGAAAGCCAGGCTCCCTGGGAGCCTCAAGGTCACCCTCTGCTGGTGGTCAGACTGCCTTCCTGAGGGGCTGTATCCTTGGAGGAAAACGTTCTCCTTTATTTTATTTTTAAAAAATGTCGTGAACTAGTGACTTTGGAAAAGGAAACTTGCCAGGAATACACGGAGCAGCTTTCTGCGCTCCTGGGTCAGTGAAGCATTTTTCTCTGAAGACGTTTTCCTTTCTTCTGAGGTGAATATGGATTCCCTCATCCTCCTTTCTTCTGCAGTGCATGTGGATTCTCTCTTAGTAGAGAGCTGGTGTGCATGTTCAGGATTTAGCAATTCGACCATACTCCTTGGCAGGTTTATTACACATTCTGCCTTGTCTTTGTAATCCGTCATAGTATGCCTCACTTTGCTCCAATATCAGACTTTGTTTCCTACTCTCCTAGGAGTGACTGGCAGGGATTATGTTTGATGGTGAGTGATTTGAGAAGGTATTTCATAAACAATATCACTTCATTGTATGCCACTCTCAATGCATTTCTATTACATTTTATGTCCATTGTATTTTTAAAAGATGCCTAAGAATGAGGAGCCAATAGTCCTCTACTCCCATTCCATTGCTTGTGCTTTCTGTTTCACTACTTGAGTCTGACCTCTGTAGAGTCTGCAGCATGGTTCTGGGTCTATGCTGTGGACCCTGTAACAGCTTAGAGACGTTTTCCTTCATGAGGAATACTGGCTTGCAGAATATTGGGCTAGACATATAGAATTTAAATTGTGCAAAACTGAAATCTTACAAATCTGGAATATGAATCATATTTTGCTGTCCTTATTCTCAGAGTAGGATTGTTTGACAAACCAAAATAGTTTATTCTTTTGTTAGTTGAAGTTTGACTAGAAACAGCTATTGAGGTGCTGGGTTTCTCACACAGCCCAAACTTCTGGGCAATTATTTCAGCCATTCCAGGTCTCACATGCAATAGAATGATGATAATAGCTATGTCGAAAGATGCTATAGGGATCGATCATAGGAGGTAATGTATGTAAAAACTCTTTGTTCTTTGTCGTCTGTAATGTCCACTTATACCTCTACCCCAAGACTGTCCTGGCCCAGGAATCTCTAGATCCATGCCATTTGGGGGGTCACCTGCAGACCAAGAACTCTCAGGATTTTCTTCAATTTTTCTTCTTACCACTCCATGTCCACAAATCCACACCATTGTCTCTCTCCCTCTATAGCTATTCTCATTTTCAAGCACTCATCGCTACTCTAACAGTCTTCAAAATCTTTGCATGGACCTTTTGGGAGTCAAAAAAGTCTCACTTTCTTAGCATTACTTCATTTTTATGTCTTTTTAATTACATTGTTGACTTTGAAAGGAAGGCTTCCTGACTTCACTTCCTTCATTCAATGTCTCAGATTTATCAGTTGTAATTTTCCCAAAAACATCCCTAATTATGCCACATCTCTGATTAATCTTGAATTCTTACTGCCTGAAGATCAAGGTTCAAATCCCTGAGCATGGCTTACAAGGCTATTCTTGTCTGGTCTCAACCCAACTTTATTCAACTTTCTATATTTCCTACACCCTATGACTGGTCACACTGAGCTAAACACATTCCTCTATGCAGGTCATGCATTTCCAACTCTTGCTACTCTCTCTCTCTTTTTCTTTCTCTGATCTGGAATTCCTGTATGCCTCTCATAAGGCCAATAGACTCACACTGTTCTTGCAGAAACCAATTCAGAAAATCACCTTCTCTGTGACATCTTATTCAGTTCTTCCAGAACCTTCTAGACTGCTTCCTTCTTCGCAGCTCACATACCATGGCTGGATTTTATTAAATGCTTTCTGTGGCCTAATGAATTAGATGGGTACTACTAGCTCTACTTCAAGAGAACACATAATTTGCTGTGCTGTTAATAAGTAGAGGTGCCATGTCTTCATGAATCTCTGTCATCGATGCTCTGCCACTCTCATGCCATTTCTAATATGTTTTTATTATACAGTTTATCATACTGAAGTATAATGTCTTATTTCCACGTCATTCTCCTATGGACCAGACCACTAGAATTTTTTATCTCACTCTCCCAGCCTCATAACTGACAACAAGCGAATTCTCAGGAACCATTAACTGAAATTGAGAGTGGGACCATATGAAATTGGATCCAGAATCCTTTTAGATGTTGGGGCCCCTATTAGTGGTCTCATCACTAATATGGTCAGCTCTGTTGCTCACCTAACTTGACTCTTCAATATATTGACACTGTTGATCACTCCCTCCTTGAAACACTTTTGTTCCTTGGTTACCATGACATTGCATTCATCTCACTTTCGTCCTTTCTCATTACTTCCACAGCTTCTTCAGTTAATGTTGACCCTCTGCCCTCTTTTCTCTCAATATTGAAGAGTTCTGTCCTGGGTACTGTTCTCTTTAATAACAATAGATTATCTTGAAGTAATTTCACTTTGACTTATGACTTTAAATATTACCACTTGTGTCAATGAATGCTAAAAGTTGTTTCTCCACCTTCATGCCGCAGTCTGGCTGGGCACAAATAACCGAGCTGCCACCAAGCACTTGTAGGTTCAAACAGCAACTCTTTATTCCCAAACTCTCACAGGCACTCCACACACGCTCCCTAGGAACACTTTCACCCTCTACTGGGTTCCACACACTCTCTCCGAACTCCGAGAGAACTCAACGGGAACTCCAAAGTAGCAGGCTGCCCTATTGCTGGACAGCAAAGGTCTATATACAACTGAATACACAGCTTAACTTAACCATCACATCTCTACGGCTCTATGGCGTCACCCACTCCTTCTGGCAAAATGCCATGCGCCATCCTGATTCAGCTGTGGCCCTCAACACCCTCACCCAGATCCCTGTACTCATATCTTCAATGCCTGGTTGGAGTATCTATGTGGGTGTTTAATAGACAATATGATTGCATGGTCGTGATGTGACTTTTGATACCAACCCCTAAATCCACTTCTCCATTCATCTGCATCTCTGTAAAATGGTACCATTTGACTCCTCTCCCACATATTGTCTGCCTAATCCATTAGGATTCTATTGCTTCCACCTATAGACATATTTCCACTCTCTCTGCCTGATCTGTTCTAGTCCTAGCAATCATTGTCTCTTTCCCAGACTATTACAGTGGTCTTGGCACTAGAATTCCTGCTCCAACTCTTGCCCTCTATTTTTTCTAAAGTGACCCCATGGACATAACCTGGATCAAATCCTTTCTTGATCAAAAACCTTCCACTAGCTTACCTTTATATTCAGAGTAAAATCCAAACCCTTCAGCAGAGCTTACAAAGCTTCTACAACCTGGCCTGTGGCTACTTTACTG